AACTGATGTGAAAAAGATTATATCCGTTCTTCCCAAAGTGGTGTCTGGCAGGGTTTCCCGGGATACTAGTAGCAACTTTGGGAAGAGGTGTGCACACTAGGAAGATGTGAATTGATTATGGCCAAAGTGATTTGTTTGTGACTGGCAGGGTTTCCCGGGTCACAGGGTAGACTGGCAGGGTTCCCCGGGTCTACCATGGTTCTCTTCCCACTAAATAGACTAAATGGATTAAATAAATATTAATATAATTAATAACAAGTTGACATTTGATTCGAATTTTTTTGAGTTATATTATTTTATTGGATTATCATGAGTTACATTCTTTTTGTTTATTTATTTATTTATTTATTTTTTTGTATATCGGATTTGGATTACTAGCTTTGCTGACTTTTGTGTTTGTTTAACTGCAATGATCCTTCACGGGGGAGCAGATTTTCAGTGAAGCATGTTGCAAAGGATGGGGCTAGCTGTGGGCAGCGAGGATCACGACTCGGATATGATATTTCTAGCTAGTTTCTAAGTTTAGAAATTTTATGAGATTTAAATAAATGCATAAGACATATTTCCTTTATTTAAACTTTAGTCTTTGGTTTTATTTTTAATGTAATAAATTTAGCCTTGCACCTGTCCATAGTACAAGTGCGGCGGTAACACTTTCCAAATTTGATTATTTTGAACTTCCGCTGTTATTTACAAAATTTATTGAAATTATTTATGCTATTATCAATTGTTAGAATTTGGGGTGTTACACCCTTAGTCCATGCGGACGAGAGATGACATCTCTGAGTACCCTTGAGTCTGCTGCGGAACCCTCCCATCTAGGCAGAACATAAATAAACTGTCCATCTTGGGAACAAACCCCCAGCACGTTGGTTGCAATCTCACCTTTCCTAGTCCGGTATCTAGCCTTGTCAGCTTGCAGGGGATTCACCTTGATGTGTGTTCCATCTAGTGCTCCCAAACAATTATAATAATAAACCACATAAAAAATTACATACCACACGACCAATACAGTGGGACATCAACAAAACTATTACACAATGTAAGGGAACGTAAAGAACAATAACTTACCTTGAACCACTTCCACCTATCATCAGTCGAGTTCTCCGCAACTGGTTCAGGTCGTTTAAATAAAACAGTATGACACCGTAAGACAGCAAGCAACACTTTGGAGAATTGTCTACTGATGGTTTCACCAGATCGCATGAACTGCCTTTTTATTACCCTATTCTTCACATCATGGGCCAAAATGTGAAGAAATATTGAGACCATCTCTTCTACTCCCATATGCCTAGTCGGCGCCAGCCCCCCGATAGTTTTCACCATCTCACACAATTTATAGAAATAGCTTTTATCCATCCTTGTATTCTCAATACAAGCCCTATCACTTAGATGAACTATTCTATGGAAATTGACCTCCCTAACCCTCATCCTGGTCAATAAACTGCCGGATACTCTCCGCCTTCGATTTCTCCTATTTTCATTACGCCGTAATAACAAGGCACAAATACTGAATAACAACAAAATGAATTGTTGCATACATTCCAGATGAGCAATGAGTACAACAACGACACTAACCTCCATTTCATTGTTCATTGTCTCAATCTAAGGCGCAAAATAACGAAAACATTAATGTCATTTATAAGATAAAATGTTGATGGTTAACAAGTGGAAGAAATATATGATGATAGTCTTAATAAAAATAAAATGATGATGGTTAACATTGGTTTTCAGCCACTCGGGAAGTGACACGTGGCCACTGTAATTGTTAGCTGACTACCTTGGCGACTATGATTCCATGACAGATTGGAAGAAAATTTCGACTCCATGACTTTCAGGTATATTATATTATAAAATTGGGCAGTATGGTTAAAATATCAGACAAGATTGCCTCCCATGCATATTACATTCAATCATATAACAATGGACTAAAATATTTACTTGGCAATTCAAAATACACAAAGAAAAGAACTAATTATATTGCTTTACTATATGAGACCATAATGCTGTTCATCTACACAAACATACTCCAGTATTTACCAGACTAGTTAGTATGATAACTTAAGACAGTGTATGTCCTTTGCTTTTGCACAATAACTCTTTGATTTGCATCCTTTTCCCCATTGCCCAAGAGAGGACGATCTAAGTGTCCTCTCAACTGTATTCATTGTTCTTGAAGTACTTGGAAGCACATATTCAGGTAAATTTAAAGGAGGTCGAAAACATGCAGACTCAACTGAGTTCAGATCCAGTAGAAATAGAAACTAATTATCACTCCCTAACAGAACCAACAGTAATATCATTGGCATAGGGATGTCAGGATGTGTATGTATAAGCAAGACAAAACTTCTCAGTATTATTATTAGATATCCCCCTGATCAAAAAAGATAAGATAAACTTTCAGAAACTCTGTTCATTCGTTTGTTCACAAATCTTCAGCTAATACTTTATGAGCTATGTTATACCTTAACAAATGATATCGCGGAATTTTGAAACACTTAGTTATGTGTAACTTTCTTACCCTAGCCCCCATGTAATGATCAACACTGAGGTTCAAACCAATTTAAGGAGTCCTATCTCAAGCTTTGAGGATTTTTACTTTTTTTTTTTTTTTACATTTGGGAATTGAAACCGGTACCACATACCTTCCAAACACAATCTAAGGCCAAAGATCCCCTGTAAATTTGATTTAAAAGAAGATGTCACTTCTTTATTTTCCTCACGTGCAATCAATTACGGTGCAAAGGAAAGAAAACTATTGTTAACTGTATTGCTGGAATATGTCTGCACAATATCCAAGCTCTGGATCCAAGGATATGTCACTTGCAACATATAGTTAAGTTCACTATACAAGGGACATGTTACTTAATTTATTATGTGATGTGAGCCGATAATTATAGTTACAATGACATATTACATAGTAGCCTACCATGTTTCAATGTTCAATCTTGGCAAATCGGCCCTTAACTCTTATCCTGCTCTAAACCTGAACTTCTTAACCAATGTTTCTTTTCATTTCCTGCCCCTCTCACCCTTAATTTTACTTCTTCATCCTTCCCCCTCCACATCATTACTTGTCCATACTCATAATATCAAACAAAATCACCTCCTATTCCTATATTCTACAATGTCAGTATCACATACTGTGTCTTTGGTTTTGTTTCTGCCAAATGTCCATACCTATGAGACCCTGCCTTTATAAACTATTATTAATGCATGGGATTTTCTCTATTTAACTACAAGTCATGAAAGTGGTTAAGGTCTAACCCCACCACTGTCAACCATAAATCAGAAAAACAAAAAAGCAATTTAGTTTGTATTGTTCTTCTTCTCCCAGGAAATGCTCTCTTCATCCATTATCAACAACTTCAATAAGTCTCATTTCACAATGACATCCAGTATAACAGAGCAGAAAAATAATTGCTTAAAGCTATCAAAAATTACCTTTCAAAATGGATATATTAGGACCTATTTTTTTTGGACAATTAAAAAGCTATTTTATTAAATAAACGTAGATGTACTAATGTGAATTAAGGAATTAAAAAAAATTTGTATACCACAAAAAAAGAATTTCCTATCAGATGTCAGTAGGCTTCAGCAAAGATAAAGGGCATAGCATGTGGCCAAGGGGTGTGTATATACTAACCGTTCAAGTTTCCTCTGGCGTCGGCAAACAATCAGGACCCTATCTCTCCACGTTGGATGCAGCGACGGAGATACCAACCAGTAATTTCTCAGCCGCGGTAGATATAATTCACCGGAGTCTTCTTAAATCACCTATGCACATGGAACGTGCAATCTAGGAAAACAGGGTGACGTGTCAGTTCACATACACAAACACGAATAAAAATTTCATTCAAAACCTTCATTTTTACCATTACCTGACCTCCCATCTTTGCGCATGTGGCTTTCTTCGCTCTTTCTTCTTCGGTCGGTCTCTTTGTTTTGGGTTTCTTCGACTTTCACATGTGATGCAAGATGGATGAGTGATGTATCAGTTTGGGCAAAAGTTGGTCACGTGTGAGGGGCAAATTAGTCACCTAATTATTTCACTTTTTCACTTCTCCGGATTTCACCCACAATATGACCCGAAAGAAGCAATCCTCAACCGATCTTATTGACCAAAATCACATGCAATCCGCGAAAGATAGGGAACTCACTTAGATGGATATATTTCATGAATCCAGCGAACCAAACGTGGAGTTATCAGAATCCACGAATCATTTCCCCATCAAAGTTGTACAAACTCCCGAAACAAATGCCCCTTACACTTTTTTCATCTAAAACATATTTGCACATCCCGAAAGAAAAATATTATTCGGGTAAACTGGATATTAGTGAACAGAGTAATACCAAATTCATTAGTACAAACTTCTTAGAAATTGTTACAATCTTATAGCTTTCGAATCGTAGCCCAAGTCTCAAAAGTATAAATAGCCATCACCTTCACCAAAAAAGGTAATCAAATAAAACTATCTCACGTTGATTTGTATTGAAGGATAATATAAAATTAACAAAAAAACATAAGTGATTGGGTCATAAAATTTCTATACTATTAATTATCTATAATCAATGCATAGAATTATAAATTCTATTGTATTTATAAATATAATAATACAAACAGAAAAAATATTTTTGCAGTTAATACAGACAAGTTATCTGCATTTACTTTCAAAACGACATCGTATTGAATTTACTACAGATAAGTTATCTACATTAACTGCAGAAAAAACGAACCTTAATTCAAAACTTATTATAACACCATTTGCTATGTATTCATTTTAGTATAATAAATCTGAAATATAAAAGAGTATGATTTATTGGATTTTTTTTAAATGTACGCAAGATTTTATAATCTTATATAATGAATGAAAAGATACAATTTTTTTTTGTTAGTTTCTTATCTTGTAGCGAATGAAAGGTATAAGGTAGCTAAATATATTTTTATTTTTCTTAATTTTTCCCTTTCCTCTAATTTCCAACATTCAAAACTCTCAGACATGAAACACCACTCCATAAACTTACACCAACGAATTGTTAAGTTGAAGCTTAGTCAAAACCATTTTGACTCTGCAAAAAGTGGTGGTAAAGGCAGCAAATTTCTGATTCAGTGCAACACCCAGATAGCAGAAAATGGACGAAACGGCAACGTCAAAGAGGCTGAAACGATATTCCGCATGATGCCCAGAAAAAACACTGTCTCTTGGACTGCCATGCTCACTGCCTATGCCCAAAATGGCCAAATCGAAAGTGCCCGCAAGGTGTTCGACGAAATTCCTGAACCAACTACTGCTTCGTATAATGCTATGATCTCTGCTTATATCCGCAACGGTTGCAATGTAGGCGAGGCTTATAAGCTTTTTTCCGTGTTGGGTGAACGCAACTTTGTGTCATATGCTGCCATGATCACGGGTTTTGTTAAGGCAGGGAATTTCAACCGGGCTGAGGAATTGTACCGTGAGGCTCCCCATGAGTTCCGGGATCCGGTTTGCTCGAATGCATTGATAAATGGGTACTTGAAGATGGGTGAAGTTAATGAGGCTTTGCGGGTTTTTGAGAAAATGGGTGAGAGGGATGTGGTTTCTTGGAGTGCCATGGTTGATGGTTTGTGCAGGGATGAGAGGGTTGCTGGTGCTAGGAACTTGTTTGACAGGATGCCTGAGAGAAACGTGGTTTCTTGGAGTGCAATGATAGATGGGTACATGGAGAAAGGATTCTTTCAAGAAGGGTTTTATTTGTTTTTGGATATGAGGAAGGAAGGCCTTGTTGGAGTTAATTCCACTACCATGACTATTGTGCTTAAAGCATGTGGAAGTTGTGGTAGGATGCCAGAGGGCATGCAGATACATGGGTTGGTTTCGCGCATGGGATTTGAATTTGACAATGTTTTGAGTAATTCTATTATTACTATGTATTGCATGTTTGGATGCACACACATGGCAAGCAAAATATTTTGTACCATGAGCAACAAAGACAATGTTACTTGGAATTCCTTAATTTCTGGATATGTTCATAACAATGAAGTAGAAGCAGCTTACAGGGTTTTTGAGAGGATGCCAGAGAAAGACTTGATTTCTTGGACAGCCATGATCACGGGATTCACTAAGAGTGGAAGAGTTGCAAAGGCCATAGAGCTGTTTGATATGTTGCCAGAAAAAGATGATTTTGTTTGGACGGCCGTTATATCTGGGTTTGTGAATAATAAGGAGTATGAGGAAGCTTTGCATTGGTATGCTCAGATGAACCGGCAAGGATGCAGGCCTAATCCTTTAACTATGAGCAGTGTTCTAGCTGCTTCAGCTGCTTTGGTAGCATTGAATCAAGGGCTTCAGATTCATAGTTGTGTTCTAAAGATGAACCTAGAATATAATCTCTCCGTACAAAACTCTCTTATATCATTTTACTCTAAGTGTGGAAATGTAATTGATGCCTACAGGATCTTCATAGATGTCACTGAACCAAATGGTGTCTCTTATAACTCAATCATTAATGGGTTTGCACAAAATGGACTTGGTGAAGACGCTCTCAGTATCTATAAAAAAATGCGGAGTGAAGGCCTTGAACCCAATCATGTTACTTTCCTTGCTGTTCTTTCGGCCTGTTCTCATGCAGGACTAATTGAAGAGGGATGGAATTTATTTAACACAATGAAATCTCATTATGGAATTGAACCAGAAGCTGATCATTATGCATGCATAGTTGATCTCCTTGGCCGTGCTGGTTTGCTAGATGAAGCTATTGATTTAATCCGTTCAATGCCATTAAAGCCCCATTCTGGTGTTTGGGGTGCTATTCTTGGTGCAAGCAAGACCCACCTACGTCTCGACCTTGCTAAGCTTGCAGCTCAACATATTACTGAGCTGGAGCCTGCAAATGCAACTCCTTATGTAGTATTATCCAGCTTGTATTCTGCTGCTGGGAAAAAGATTGAGGGTGACTTAGTAAGAAAGACAAAAAATTTAAAGGGAATAAAAAAAAATCCAGGTTGTAGTTGGATTACTATGAAAGATGAGATTCATCTGTTTCTTGCAGGGGATCAATCACATAAGAATATTGAAGAGATAAAAGCTACCCTATTGACTATGGATAAGGAGATGCAGTAGTATAATTGTGGTCGCTGACTGGCAGTCTCTTATTTTCTTTCTCTCTTACAAATATAACTTCTGTTTCAAACCAGCTGGAAAGGAAACAAAGTTAAAGCAAAAGAATAAAATTGGAAAAAATGCACGTTATATCATCATCATCATAATGTTGGATGAAGGTTAACCCCGCATACAGGACGAGAAAGAGAAGAGAAAAGGTGAAGAATAAAGAGAAAATACCGAGTGAGAAGTGGGAGCATAGAGAAAATACAAAGTGAAGCATATTTAGAGGTAATTTTCCACTCCGAGTGTTTTTTTTCCCTTTGATTTTTAGGATTAAAATCACACAATTGAAAATAAAAGGTCTACATGTAATTGCAATATTAAGAATGTAACTAAGCCAATTTACTGATTAAAAATAATATTTAACTAATCAATTTTATTGGAAAAAATATGCAACATTGATGTAAACCCCGTCCATAGAGTTGTGAGTGATTCTTAGCTTATTAATTTTTGATTCACTATTTATTGACATATTCCTCCTTGTTTTGATACCATTACGTTAAAATAATCTTCTCTTGTCAAGAAACAAGAGATGGCCATGGAGATTATGGTTTCAGTTTACTTCTAAAGTCCCTGAATGCCTGAATGTGAGGATGCACCTATTAGAGATCAATTTGGCTACATACTCTTTTACAAGAGCAACCTTGAAAGACTCAAAACCAAGCTAGAAGCTGGAGGATAAAAAAGTTAGCTTGCAACACTCTGTTGATGAGCTAATAACCGAACCGAACCGCTCCATGCACACCCCTATATTCAATGGGACACTTTCCCAATCTGTGGACAAGGCACCAGCTGAGCAGGAAAACCAACAAAGAAACACGAGATTTCTGTAAGTCCTAGCAGATGCATAATTTGATAGATTTTCTTATTGTGCTGCTTCTCAGGTGACAGTCACACCATTTTTCTAGAGGTTACGAGGCCCTGGATTCCTGAACATCAATGCTGAACCAGATTAAGCAGGCATTGAAAGTTCCTAAGTGTACTTGATTGGGGTGTATGGGATGGGTGATATGTTAAAACTACACTAAAGGAAGAGTTAGCTTGGTAAGCAGAGAAAGACGGGTCATTTGATGCTGTAGTTATGGCTAATTTAATGAATTCTCCAAATGTCGAAAATATTCAACACCGAATTGCTGAAAGTTTGCATTTGGAATTTAATGATAAGGAGACAAAAGAAGGGAGTGATCGCCGGTGCAAATGAGGCACGTACAATGAGCAGCTCATGCCAAATCTTGCAGCTGGAGGTACATGAATAAACCGAATCAACACTCGAAGGAGAGGGATTCCAGAGACTGTGCAGGTATGAGACTGTACATCAACATCAACATCAACAACACCTTTATCCCAAATTAATTGGAGGTATGAGACTGTACAGTTGGGAATAACTTCTAAGAATTAATTGGTATTACCTATACTAATAAGATGCATTTACTTTTCGGTAACTCGGAACTGAAGAACTCCATAGTTAAGCGTGCTTAACTTGGAGCAATTCTGATATGAGTGACCTCCTAGGAAGTTTTCCCAGGAAGTGTGTGAGTGAGGACAAAGCATGCTGAAAAGTCTCGTGTTAGTTTGTGGAGATAGTCATTGATCCTTGAAGCGGCCAGGCATCACAGCGTTGGTCATAATTGATCTGGAAGTAAATAAATAGCTTGCTTTAGTTTAGTAACTATTATAGGATAAGATACTGAAATATCTAATCTTCTTTTTCTTTGCCCATCAATTAATATGTAGAATAATTTTTTTTTTGACAAGATTGTGTATGTCAATAGGTTGCAATGCCCAACCTTGATACCGTGGAGCTGTCTGATATAAATACATGTAAGATATGGGATGATAAACTGCCGCTCCATTCCTGGATTCATAACTTGAAGAGTTTGAAAGTCGTTCGTTGTCTTAGCTTAACAAGTTTGTTCTCAGCCTCGGTGAGTATTGCTGAACAGCATTATAACTATAGTTATAGTTTGGCTACCCATTTAATTGAAAATATATTGATATGTTAATGATGGTAGGTTAACCTTCCCAAACTTGGTCACATTGGTTCTCAAGTACATGGACAATTTGAAGTCAATATGGCACAATCAACTAGCTCCTAATTCCTTTTGCAAGCTGAATGTAATAGTAATTTCGTCTTGTAAAAGACTGGATCATCTCTTTCCAATCTCTGCGGCTGAGGAGCTTTGGAAGCTTCAATTGCTTCATATACACAAGTATGATGTTATGCATGTTTACCTTGAATCCTTGGAACTATTGTCCTAGATTGAAGACTATAGTCCCATCCTTGGTGATGTGTCAGGCTTTAGAACAATTAGAAGTGGAAGGTTGTGATGGAGTGGTAAATATTATAACCCCATCAATGGTAAAATGTTTACCATAACTTTGCATTTTAACAATATCTTATATTATGATAGAGGAAATCTTTGCAAGCGAGAATGAGGGTGAGATTGCTTTATGAAATTGGAGTGTTTGGTACTCAAATACTTACCAAGGCTCACAAGCTTTTGCAAGGGAAGATTAAGCTTCTCAAGTTTCCATCACTGCAGAAGGTGTGTTTAATTGTCCAAATATGAAGACCATTTGTTGTAGAAACTTAACCACACCAAGTCTCAGATCAGTAGATCACGGAATGCTAAGAGTAAAATTTTCTTGGGATAATGAACTTAATGCTACTGTAAGGAAAATTTTCACTGAACAGGTAATGAACACGTCAACCCAACTTTATGATCTAATCTCCAATTCTTATTCCAACTTCCTTTAATTGTCTGTTTTTCGGTTGGGCATCCAGAATCCCAAACAAGATTTGAGTTTGTTACCAAGAGCTAAACACAAAAAGAGGCAGAGGTAGGCCGAAGCTTACTTGGGGGAAAGTAGTAAAACAAGATTTAATGGAGTGGAATATAGATTGGGGGACAGTATGTCTTAGAAAGGAATGGAGAAAAGCTATAAGTATGGTGGAGGGTTAGACCCGCTGTTATTCCTATGTTTCAGATGGTCCCTTTTTAGTCCTTTTCCCCTTCATTTCCCCCACTTCTTCTTGTCCCTTTCTTTTTTACTTTTATTTATTTATATATACATATATTTTTATTTTATTTTATTTTATTTGTGTATTTTTATTTGTTTATTAATTTATTTATTTATTTATTTTTATTTTTTTTTTATTTTATTTTTTATTTTATTTTTTATTTTATTTTTACTTTTTTTCAACCGTTTTGTATCTTTCATGTGGGTTCATCTACCACTGACCCCAATTAATTTGGGATAAAGGTGTTGTTGATGTTGATGTTGATGTTGTTTTACTATTTATTTCTTTTCCTTTTTCCTAATGAATTTAATATTTTAGCTTTCATGCACCTCTTAGTTGTATGAATCAATTACATATTTTCTAGAACACAACTTCATCTCTTCTGTTGCTATAATGCATGACTGGTGTGGCTTTTTGTTTATCAAAATTCCAGTCAACCAAATAGTTTATAAAATTTGGCTGAGTTCAGTATGCTTTATCTTATGTACACTATCTTATATTCTTATTTCTTAAGCAGTAAGAAATTTCTCTTGTATAGCAAAGCATGTCACTTTACATGACCATGCATATTATATTCATAATTAGCTACTTGTCTTCGTGGTCTTTGTAGTTGTGAGCATGCAACATGGGAAGGAAGTTCACAATGGTGTACCATACGCACTTTGATAAAGAAACCAATGAGCCAGGAACGCGTGTCTACCCCTACCTCTTTCTGCCTCCATCATTCCACTTCAGATGTTTGGTGAATCAAGCTTTCTGCATCAATTTGCTACCTGATTTGTCAACTTTTTTACATGGAATTTCGTTGTAATGTCTGTTTTGGTTTATATTAATTTTCAAGTCAAAAAATGAGTTCTGGTATCAGTCAAGTAAAAAAACCAGTAAAGCTACTTTGGCAACTAATTTCCAATACCATTTCGGTAATATATATGCTTTTATTTTACAAAAACACTTAATATTAAATTTGATGAAAGTTCTTAGTGCTAGATATTCTCAGATACTGTATCTGTAAACAAGATCAAAAGATACCAACTTTTTGGTCCACGTGTTTTGTAAAAACAAATGAGGTGCTGTGCATGAATGCAATGAAATTTGACTTCCTAGACATGATGCATCCATTAATAAACTACTGATTTTAATTACCTCCGAACTTTAATTGTCTAAAATAATTTTCATCCAAAAATGAAAGTTTATGCAATTTTTATTAAACCTCCAAATGCAATTCTGAATAACATGCATCGAAGTCACGCAGAAAAGTTAAGATAAAGAAAACCGCAAAACAGAGGGATCAATAATTGCAGGACCAAAAAGCATTGAGTGGGGATTAATTAAAGAATGTTAAGAAGGGGTCACCTTTTTCTCTCACATGCATATTCAAAGTCTAACACGTAAACACAACACTCACCAATAATAAAAAACTACCATTTTCACTTTCAAAAGTCACCGTCACTAAGCTTACCTAGTCCCACACACACACATTCATAGACATTCAAACACACCTTCTTTCTTTCTTTTGTTTCTTTTTCCCTTCTCACCTTAGAGGGAAAGAAAGCTAAAACAAAAACACAAACATAGGTTCAAAAGCAAAAGCAAAAGAGCATTCAGCTTTTCAATCAGTGCACAAAAGCAAATCACACACTCTCAAAAGTGCACCAAAGCTTACCTCACTAAGCAAACACCATGGAGAAGATCTCACATATATACTATGCACCTGTCTCACCCTCTTGCTTGTTTATGATATCACAGCAATGGCAGAGATTGTCCTTGCTGAACCCATTGATGACATCCATTTTGAGCAAGGAGAGACATCTACTGCAAGACCCCATGTCACCTTGTCCATTACCAGTGGCAGTAATAACAAAGTTGCTTATGTTCCAGGACCCTTTGACAGTGAAAGGTTGCCAACAGTTTTTGCTTCTGAAATCCAAAGGTTCCTTCGTGTGGCCAACTTGGTTGGAAAGGAGGAGCCTCGTGTTGCCTATCTTTGTGAGTCATTTTTTTTGCTTTCTTGGTCTTTTTGGCTTTCAAGTATCGGTTGATTAATGGGAAATTTGGCTTTCAACTATTTTTTTTTCTTTGATGTATTTGAGTTTTTACTTTTTTGTTGTTTGTTTTTGGGATGTCTAGATTGAAGGATTAGTGACTAAAATAGTTTATGTGTAAGTAGTTTTAATGTACAGTGAAAGAACTGTAAATGGTTACTGGGACATGGGTGTCTAGGAGGCCACAGAAGCTACAATTTTCTGTCTTTGTTTGTTGTTCTTTATTTTGTTTCTTGGTTGTGTAAGTTGAATGGGTTGCTACATGCTGGTTGATAACTACTGAATCAATATTCCACTAAAGGCTACTTACGCTTTTCGATAACCATAGTTATGGTATTAAAAGAAAAATGAAGTTGTAAAAAGGAGCCTCAATTTATTGAATTACCTCAGTCCAAGAATTGCATTAAGGACACGAATTATCACAATAAAAGTTTAAAACAATGGGGGAAAGGAAAATTGCATTAGTGCAGTTCTGTGCTCACGTGGGAAACACATGTAGAAGCTTTCAATTTCAAAAAAGTTGTACAATGTACAGTGCAATCTTTAGGTGTTGGCTTTTCACCATGGTTGAAATACATAAATTACAATCGTATGTGGATGTATAGAGAAATTGAGTGATTTCTCAACTTTTAATGACAATTTATAAGCCCTATAGCATCCCACTTGAATTTGATATTTTCCAGCTTTATAGGTAGTCCTATGTGTCTTCAGATTTGCTTATCCCGAGAATGAATTCTCTGTTTACTGTTATCAATATATGCATTTCACATTGTACAAGTAATTCTAATTCGCAGGCCGCTTTTACGCCTTTGAGATTGCACACGGCTTGGACAAAAATTCTAGTGGAAGGGGTGTTATACAATTCAAAACTTCACTTCTTCAACGACTTGAACAGGTAAACAAGAATGTTCCAATTCATTCTGTCATGAACAGTGGTCCTTTTGAATGTTGATGATTAATACTTAAATGGATTGTTATAGGAGAGATACTAGGAATCATACTTAATGCATTATTTTAACTTTGAATATTGATGATTGCTCGGGTTTTTTTGTGAATTCTTACCTACAGGATGAGAACGTTACAAAAAAGAAGGGAACGAGTGATATTCGTGAACTTAAGCGTGTTTACAAGGCCTACAGGGATTATTTTATTACACATGATAAAACATTTGATCTAGAACAAAGGTAACTTTGCTTAATCTTATTAGTGCACCATTTTACTTCACAAATTTTCTGATGCCTTTATGACCTACTAATCCAACTTATTTTATGTTCTATCTAAACAGTCGCAGGGAGAAATTGATAAATGCACGAAATATTGCTTCTGTTCTATTTGAGGTGCTAAAAACATTTACAGATACAGCTAGTACTCAGGTGATCTCTTTTATTTCTTTCCTCTCTCTCTCTCTCTCTCTCTCTCTCTATATATATATATATATATATATATATATATATATATATATATATTCTACTTCCGTTTTATACTAAATTTTTGACATAATTTAGTCTGAAATAAGCAAATTATCAATTTACCATATATTTTCTTTTTCTTAGAATTTCTCATTTTGTCCAAAACAGGCACTTATTGAAGGAAATGCAATCCACAAAAAAACTGAGTTTAACATTCTTCCACTTGAGCAAGGAGGCATTCAGCATGCAATTATGCAGGAGCATGAGGTCTGATACTTCATGGATTATTCACATATCCCCTTATTAATATCCTATGTCAGAGTCACAGAAGACTCAATTGCAGTATGATGGACTGAGTGTACTAATAAATTGATACAGATTAAGGCTGCCATTGCAGTTATTCGCAATGTTCGTGGTTTACCCCCTGCCCAAGATTTCAATAAACATGGAAACTTTGTAGATCTGTTTGATTTTCTTCAGCATTGTTTTGGATTCCAGGTCAGTTATCCTGATAAATTGGACGCAAACTTTCCCTTTTTCTTCTATATAATAATGATTATTGCATAGAATGAACTCCACAATTGTCTAGTTTTTGGGACATGATGTAGTATATTGTAAGCATTGCTCTAACTAGGCTTTCAAGATTTTTCATTCAATGTCATGAATCTTACATTAGGAAGCCAATGTGGCCAACCAAAGGGAACATCTGATTCTACTCCTAGCCAACATGCAGACTCGGCAAACTCAAAACCAGACATCTGTTTTGAAGGTGCATTTGCTGTTGAACTTGTATCTTCTGGGTTCTAGCTTCACTTGATCACATTTGACCATGTTAACTAAGTCATTTTTATCATATCAGTTAGGAGAAGGAGGTGTGGATGAATTGATGAGAAAGTTTTTCAAAAATTATACAAACTGGTGCAAGTTTTTGGGAAGAAAAAGCAATATCCGGTATGTTAGTTGATCTAATTCTCTTGTCGCTTTCAATAATTTATATTTTGTTTGATCCGTTGATAAAAAGACGGTGGTATTTTTCTCTCTTTCTTTATGTCTCTGGACTAATTTTTTTTTATATACTTTTCGTTAGTTTTTTGAATATTCTTCGTTCCTTCAAGTTTTTTCTTCTCTTTTGTTTATTCCATTTAAACCATAATTCATTTATTTAGTTTGAACATTCTTTCTGTTTTCTGACCTTGTGTTTTACTTACTAAATCTGTTACTTCTGTTGCAGCTTACCTTTCGTGAAACAGGAAGCACAACAATATAAAATTTTATACATTGGGCTTTACCTGCTCATATGGGGTGAGGCAGCTAATTTGCGGTTCATGCCAGAATGTCTCTGCTATATCTTTCACCATGTATGTTGAAACTCAACTCAGATAATTACTTTTTTTCAATATAAGAAGAAATATTAAACTCTCCCCGTGTCTGTTAGTTTATAAAATTTTGGTTTCTCTGTGATACTAGGAATACCAAATGGCATATTCAGCATTTCAAGTCCAAAGATTCTATATATTGATTTGGTTGATAGATAGAATCTACTTGAGCCTATAGCTTTTATTCTTTTACTTACCAGTGAAAACTGGGGATTATATAATGGAATTACATAAATGCTTGATGGAGCCACCCATTGATTGAAATTTTCAAATAACCCTTTGTTGTAAATAATTGTATTTGTTTATTTCTTTATTTATTTATTTTTCATTTTAGAATCTTCTTTGGGCTTGGCCCATTAGGTTATTTAGTCTCTTTAAATAGAGAGCAATTGTACAGATGTAATATACAATTTTATCAATAAGATTATCTCTTTTTTCAACTCCCTTCATTATATGATTATGCTCTAATTTATTTTTATCCTTTTTTGTGTGTTTTGAAGATGGCATATGAATTGCATGGAATTTTAAGCGGTGCTATCAGCTTAACAACATGGGAAAAAGTCATGCCTGCATATGGAGGAGAACCGGAGTCTTTCCTTAACAATGTTGTCACCCCCATATACAAAGTTATAAGAGATGTACTATCTAATTTATCCTCTCTTTTTTTATTTTTTATTTTGGGACTGTCTTCTTCAACATAACTAATTTCTCTTCAAACCAAAGGAAGTTGACAATAGCAAAGGTGGGACAGCTGCGCATTCTGCGTGGAGAAACTATGATGATCTGAATGAGTATTTCTGGTCAGTCTTATCTTTAGATTATGATTTCTCCTGTTGTTTTCATGTGACATTCTTTCCATATCATTAGGTCCTCACGGCTGTTGTATATCTGCAGGTCTCCTGATTGTTTTGGAATCGGTTGGCCCATGCGAGACGACCATGATTTTTTCTTTGTACAATCGAAAAATGAATCCAGTGACAAGAATGCATCACCTGGTAAAGTAAAAGAAAAGAAAAAGAGAGAAAAGAAGGATGAAGAACCAGAGGTGATTATGTGATTATCAAATCATTGTACTTGTACTTCATATATTGTACGAGTGATTTTGAAACATAAAAAAACTAAAGCTATATGAAATTACAAATTAACTATTTTTTTTAATACAATAGTCGCACAGAGGTTCTAACCTATAACTTCATGCAAACTACTCAAGCCTCTCACCACTAGCCCACTCCTAATAGCTTTCAAATAAAAATTTTAATTTCATCACATATTGATGCTCTTCATTATTTCTAGAACTCGGGGATCTTATTAGATGACATCTCAAGATAATTTGCTTTTCTATTTTTTTATGAAATGAAATTTGCTTCAGAAGTTCTTTTGAATGCTAGAATCTAGATGGCAAGTGACTGCTTGATTAAGTCTGTGCTAACTACAATGACATTTCCATGTCTTGAACCATCACAGTAGAAACTACAAATTTCTTGTGTTGAAAGTAATCACTTTGCTATGACAAGTTGTCTATAGTGGTTGTTTTTCTGTGGCACGGGCACATGGCATGGATTCTATTAGGTCAATATCATTGTATATGTAAAGAACAAATTCAACCCAAAAGTCAGGTGCTTGGCTAGGAGGCGGGTGGAGTACTTTGAGCCTGGGTACTCAGTTAAGGGGGATCACATTAATGTTGGGTTTCACACTTGAGGGGGAGATTGTTGGGGTATTCAAGTGTGATGAGTCTCACATTGGTTGGTAATGAGTTAAGTGAAGTGTATATAAGTGGATGGACCCATTAACCCAATACCACTTATATAAACTTCACTTAGCTCATTACCAACCAATGTGGGACTCATCACACTTGAATCTCCAACAATCTCTCCCTCAAGTGTGAAACCCAACATTGGTATGGTCCCCCTTAACCGAGTCCCCAGGTCCAAAGTGCTCCACCCGCCTCCTAGCCAAGCACCTGACTAGCCCGAGCCCAAACCGGCTTTGATACCAAGTAAAGAACCATTTCAACCCAAAACCTTAAGGTGTTGGATGAGGGCCTTTTTAATGGTTTATATTATTCTCTAATAGTATAGTAATTTAATATGAAACTTGAAAGATGGCTGTTTATCTTGTCCCATCGTTCATAAGTTCGACTTTGTCATCCATGAGTAATTTCATACTACTATTATTTAGGAGGAATAGAGGATGAATTCAAAATATTTATCTTGATCGATAATGATGCTGCACTACCCTCCTTATTTTGTTTGGAGTCATATGTTAGAGGGAATTCGTTCATTATTAGTCTTACCAAAAAGATACGAAGGGATCGTTCCCTTTGAATTTATAGCCTTATAATCTCTTGATACAAAAAAAATCAATAGAATTTGGTGCAATTACTAATGGTTGAGTCTGTTATACTCGCTAACATTTGACATATTATTGAATGTTACTTCTATTATTTCATTTCTCTTGTATTTTGTGTTTCAAATGTCAGTAGGAAAGGTTGTATTGGTTTTGCAACCAGTAAGAGACTACCACTCTGATGCGAAATACCTATAAAAAAATTGTTAAACAGAAAATTTGGGATTTGATATAAGATAAACTCTTAGTTCTCAAATTTAATTATCAAAATAATCAACTTCTTACAATAGGTTCTTAAACACCCTTTTATAGGCCAATTACAAAACAATTCAAAATTTAAAATCCTAAAATAAGGAAAGCTCCTAAAGATAAACATAAGTCCTAAAAATAAGGAAAATATGTACAAATAAAGATACTTGATACAACCAACATATTATTCGATAATTCCAAACTCAAAACACATCTCAAATATGAGCCATCAAAACAAGCCAAATTTGTTGCTTTCCACTTTTTGTCCAACAGATTACAATCGAACCTATTGCTTCATTTAAATTGGATTTTGGTTGGACTCTACTAGATTTTAAATTGATATTTTTTTGAACTTGCGACCATGCTTAATGGGCCATAAATTTGTTTGAGACCGAATTTCTTGAATCAACTAACTATGTACTTGGGCCATACTTAATAGGCCAACTCTAGGTGCATCACATTCTATACTGACAACATATACCTGTTTTATTTCTTTTCCTTATCCAGGATACAAAGGAGGAAATCCATGAACCACGATGGCTGGGAAAGACAAATTTTGTAGAGATTCGTTCATTTTGGCAAATTTTTAGAAGCTTTGATAGAATGTGGAATTTTTTAATTCTATCCCTTCAGGTTTACTCCAAATATAGTGCAGATAATTTACAAAATTTCGCTTCTTATTATGGATAGTCTAGAAACTTGGTTATTGTGTTTTTTTCCCAGGCCATAATAATTATTGCTTGCCATGACGTGGGATCTCCACTTCAGTTGCTTGATGCCACAGTATTTGAGGACATAATCAGCATCTTCGTTACCTCTGCAATTCTTAAACTTATTCAAGGTATGGTGCTCATTTATTTTATTACTTGGCATTGAAGTTAGTTTAATTGATTGTAGCAAACAAAAGTAAACTTAATTGGTCAATATGGTATCAACGTTACAGTGATATAATTCCAATGTTTTGAAAGATTCTTATTGGCTGCTTTAATAACAAGGAGGGAGTTGTCCAAAGTGATTGCTTTGATTAGTTATTGGCTATGATGTTTTCCTTCTTCCTTATGGAACCAGGCTATAATTAGTAGAATGGTGTATTCTAAAATTGTTGCAATGCTAATCTAGTGACTTCTTCCACTCACTTGAGTCCCAGGACATTTATCTTTTGGGTATATTTTTCATGGGAGGTTGATTTCTCTTAGGGAAGGTAATAATTCTCATATTAAACTTTGGATGATCTTTGGATTTAGAGGCCTTTCCCTGCCTCTAATGTCTTTCCTCTCTAAGTCCTTCCCCAACTAAAACTTCTACAATACTTAGGGTTCCAACATTACTTGAAACTTAAAAGTTTTTAAGAAATCTTAATGAATGAGTAGCTTCTGTATTGAAATCCCTTTTGTGTTCCTTGATTCTCTTCATTTGTCTTCCAATTTGGGTTGGGGAATTTCAATACTTGATTGGTCTTGTGTGTATTTTTTTTTATCCATTCTTCAAATTCCTTCTTGAAAAACCCCTTTGGAAATCCAAAAGTCCACTATATTCAAGAATTTTGTTTGGACAACAGTACTTTATAGAATTAGTACTAATGATATGTTACTAATTCTATACCTGCTTGAATTTATTCAGTTTACTCATGGGTGGAGTTTTGGGTAAACATTTATATATGAAAGTCTTATGCTCGATGATAGGTTACACTCAGCACTGCATTTCTCAGTTCCTTGTTAATGAAGGACAAATTGTCAAGAAAAACAGAACAGCTACATGCTAATCTGTGATTCTATATTTTATTTTTAAATTTCATATTAGTACTCTAGGCATTATATATAGACAGTGTGTCCCTTCTCATCCTCGTTCACTTATCACAACAAAAACATTCTCATTTTTTTGTCACAGCAATTTTAGACATCACCTTTGCTTGGAAAGCAAGATACACAATGGAACGTGCACAAAAAGTGAAACTTGTGATGAAGCTTGCCTTTGCAATTATATGGACTATTATTCTTCCCGTCTGCTATGCTAATTCTAGAAGAAAATATACTTGTTATTCCACCAAGTATGGAAGCTTGATTGAGGAATGGTGCTTTACTTCCTACATGGTTGCAGCAGCAATATACTTGACAAGTAATGCAGTTGAAGTTGTGTTATATTTTGTCCCTGCTATTGCCAAGTATATCGAAGTCTCCAATTACCAGATATGCAAAATTTTGTCTTGGTGGACTCAGGTAAGTTCATTTTATTTTTACTATATTTTCCAATAATGGGTTAGACTGGAAGACATTGCTGGACCCATTTGCTATTTGAATAAACTTTTGATACAATTACAGTTCAGATCTTAATAATCATTCTAGTACTGTGTCCAGTTACAGACTGTCTTAAGAAGGACATTTCAAAGTTATTAGGTATCAACTAGTATTTATTTTTGTGAAAAAGAGTCTATTCAACGTGTCAAGATATCGATGAACATTAGAATATTGCTTTGCATGTTATTCAGACATATTGAACATAAATTATAATTGTTCTTTGCTTTTTGGATAATTCCAAGGCATCATCAAAGTGCAATCCATTTTCTAGCGAAGCATATAGAAATGGTAAGGCAATAATGAAGTTTTCCTATCTACAGTTTGGACCTATGGAAAATTTCCAGTATATCTAGGGACAGGCACAAACATTTGGCTATAATACGGACTACAGTATCTTCTTTTGACTGTTCCTTTTTTTAATGAGTCCATGTACTAGGTAATGTGATTGCTTTTGGCATCATAGCATATCACTATACGTATATTATCCTTTACCACAACGAAGATTTCTTTTTGGTCAAAAATATGCTTTCTATTCCTTCATTTTGGAGGACTACATCCGTTTGATGTTTTGACTTTCCATCATTTGTGTCGATGAGCACTAGTAATATCTAGTATAAATGTTTTTCCCATTGATTTATATGTGCATGAAATTGACTTAGTATTCATTCATGGCATTAATTTTTGTAATTTGGGTGTCACATTTATTTATCATACAGCCTAGAATCTATGTTGGACGGGGGATGCAAGAAGACCAGGTTTCAATTTTAAAGTATATGCTATTACCAAGTTGGCTTGTTCCGTCTGTTAGTATTTAATTTCTTTAGTATATTCATCCTAATATTTATAAATCTGATGAATTCTTCCAATGTAGGTACACATTGTTTTGGATATTGGTGTTATCAAGTAAATTTCTGTTCAGCTATAGTTTTGAGGTAAATAATAATGGAACATCAATGATGGGGTTATGTTAATTGGGTTTCGTTAATTGGCAACTTACTCTTAATGGCCAATGCAATATCAATATATGCAGATAAAACCACTCATAGCACCAACCAGACAGATTATGAAAATTGGTGTAAAAAAGTATGATTGGCATGAGCTTTTTCCAAGAGGTATGCTGCATTTCTAATTGTTTTTATCACATTGTAAGGGATAAGTTAATGTCTCTGACAAAGGTTTGCTTGTGCTGCAGTCAAAAGTAATGCTGGTGCAATTGTGGCTGTATGGAGCCCTGTAGTGCTTGTGAGTTTGAATCACACATCTGGAACATACACTTCTTTGATCTTAACTTCGATATCACCATTATAATTGTCCTTACATTGAAGTTCTAAAATAAAACACTCCACTGATTGAAGTATGAACGTTTACAAGTGAAGTGGTGTATCTGTCTTTATGTGTTACGTAAAAGTGCTTATGTGATGATTCTTTCTTTATGAAAACCATTTTGATGGATGGTTAACATCATTCTGTTCTATATTTATTACAGGTTTATTTTATGGACACACAAATTTGGTATTCTGTGTTCTGTACAATATTTGGTGGACTTTATGGCATTTTGCATCACCTTGGTGAGGTAAGCTATGTTTTTTATTATCTTCTTTCTTTCTTTCCCCACAAAAATGAATTGGTCGACTCACCTCTCTTATTGAAAATAGATAAGGACACTAGGAATGCTGAGAAGTAGATTTGACTCCTTGCCTTCAGCATTTGATGTCTGTCTGATCCCGCCATCTTCCAAACGTGGTAAAAAGAAAAGAAAAGGTCTCCTCAGCAATATATTTCAAAAGGTGTGTTCTAAATTAGCAATAGTAAGATACAATTATTTTAATGTATATGTTCTCTTATGTTGACCTCTAATCTATTTCACAGGTGCCGGATGAAAAAAATGCTAAAGCAAAATTTGTTGTAGTATGGAATCAAATTATAAATCATCTTCATCTTGAAGACTTGATTAGTAACAGGTGATGGGATTGTAATTTTCCTGCACAGCTATGTCTTTTTCTAACACCTGACATTGATTTTTTCAACAGAGAGATGGATTTGATGATGATGCCTGTGTCTTCTGAATTATTTTCTGACAATGGCAAGGTTCGTTGGCCTGTTTTCCTTTTGTCAAATAAGGTAATGTACTTTTAACCAAAATATTATGAGATTGCTGAAGTAGAATGTACATCTTTTATTCATTAATGAACTTTTCTTGCTACGTATTCTAGTTTTATACAGCTTTGACCATTGCTAAAGATTTTGAGGGAAAGGATGAGATTCTTGCCAGAAAAATTACAAAAGACAAATACACGTTTTATGCTGTAAGAGAGTGCTACCAGTCACTGAAATACGTCCTTGATATTCTTATTGTAGGTAGCATGGAGAAAAGGTAAAAAATGGAATAATTTTTTGGATACAATCTTCCCAGCTTCAACTGCTGTTGTATTCTGCAGAATCTTATCTTTTTCTATCTCCAAAATTTTGTCATTGGTGTTGATACGGTGGTTATTTATGCATATTTAGGATCATATGTGATATATTTGGCGAAATTGAAAAAAGTCTCCAAGAAACAAGTCTTCTTAAGAACTTCAACATGAAAGTTCTCCCAGCTCTACATGCTAAGGTTATTGAGCTAGCTGAACTTCTGGTAATTGTTTCCTAGACCTAGACTAAAGGCTGCAGTATTTATATTGACAAATTTATATGACCAGTAAATTTGAGTCCTAATAACTTTGATATGAAATGCCATAAGATCGAGGGAGATAAAGATCATTGGCACAAAGTTGTGAAAGCTTTGTTAGATATGTTGGAACTAGTAACAAATGATATGATGGTTGATTCCAGGTATTGGTGCTTAAGAATTTGTTGTCCTTTACCACATTACCACATCAACATCAACAACACCTTTATCCCAAATTAGTTGGGGTCCTTTACCACATTACCATGCTCCAGATTTTAATTTACTTATTAAATCTGTACAGAATATTGGATATGTTCCACTTTCCCCAGCAAAACGAACGTGGCTTTGTCTTTTTTAGAGATGATGATCAACTATTTGCCAGTGAGGAAATGAATAGAGAATTCTATCCATTTGCCAACGAGAATTCTATTCATTTTCCCTTGCCTGAAAGTGGCCCTCTGATTGAAAAGGTGACATTTATTACCTATGTGATTCTTACTTGTCATTCTCCTTTCATTAAGGACTAGTTTTAATATTCACTTATAAATGCTAGCACGTACATATATAGTAATGAGAAATAGCATCTTACAATTATATGTGAACTATACTCTTGTTATACTTATACTGATATAATCAGCCTGTTCATGGCAGATCAAGCGTTTTCATTTGTTGCTTACTGTCAAAGATTCAGCAATGGATGTGCCTGCAAACTTAGATGCTCGTCGGCGCATATCATTCTTTGCTACTTCTCTGTTTACAGATATGCCTGATGCTCCAAAAGTGCGCAATATGCTGCCATTCTGGTAATTTATATGTCCATGAGTATTTCATTTAGTTTGTTAAGTTGACTCTATGATACATTCTGTTCTTGAAGTGGTATTGACACCACTTCTCTTTTCATTCTAATATTTAATTTGAACTAATCGACCTTATTTTACGTAAATCATGATAAAAACAACCCCCTGCTATATAATTTAAAAGTTTATCATTCCAGTTAACCACATATTATTTGAAGAACTCACAGATATCATAAATGGATTTCGTGAAATGTTTCACGAAGGAGGAGGTGGCGTGCAGTTACAAACTCCACCTTTACATTCACCATTTCCCTTATTTGAATTGACCTAATTTCCTATCATTTCACTTAGCCGTTAATCATAAGATTTAGAGATTTAGATTTAGAGATCTGCATGGGCAGAGCATAGGATTTACATTTAGTGCACCTTGCTAACGGCATATCATTTTGCAAATGTAAAGAATAAAAAAAAAAAAGCATCTTAAATCCACATTACAAGTAAAATGGTACTTTTAACAAGAGAAGACGGGAAAAGAGAGAAGAATAGTAAGATAGTCTGGTGTATAGATACATTTTTATGGAACACTAAGAAGTCATTCCTAATACATGAATAGGGCTTCTGCTTAATTTCTCCACCCACCCCATCCTTGTACATGGAATCTTATTTTATAACCATAGCGGGGATGTTTAAGGGACTTCCAAACTCTCTTAGAAAATCCCTTCCAGTTGAAAAGCGAAAAGCTCAGAATGATCATTGTGCAAATGTTGTTTGTAGAACATCAAAATTAATTAACTGCAAGAGTTTTTTTGGTCATTTTTCTTTATGCTGATACATTAATGAGAATTTCTTTATTCTATTACAGACACATCAAATAAGAAACAAACCTTTTGGTGTTAAATGATATAATGACGTTTGACTTTTAAATAATCATTCAGTGAACATTATTGTAGTCCCATAGTTCTGTCCCAGAATTCTGTCTGATATATAACGTGATTGGTAGTGTTATAACTCCACACTACATCGAGGACATCAATTTTTCCCTGAAGGAGCTTGGTTCAGATCAAGAGGAGGACTCAATCATCTTTTACATGCAAAAGATATATCCAGGTTGCTAAAAATAAGAATTTGTTTATGTATCTCAAACATTTTATTTGAACTCATCTCATAGCTTGTCCTACCAATTTAAATAGATGAATGGACAAACTTTTTGGAACGTATGGGTCGTGAAAATGAACAGAAGACAGAAGATGAACAGAAGAGTTTAGAAGATGAACAGAAGACAGAAGAGCGTAGGCTGTGGGAAGATGAAAAGAAGACAGAAGAGCTTAGGCTGTGGGCTTCATTCCGGGGCCAGACACTAAGCAGAACAGGTTCAGTTTTGTATTATTCTCAAAATTGGATGTTCATGCAATTTTAAGGCATTTTGTGATCATTTCAATCATATTTGTAACAGTTAGAGGGATGATGTACTATAGAGAAGCCTTAAAATTACAAGCATTTCTTGACATGGCTGAAGATGAAGGTTTGTAACCAAGTGACATTATCCTCTAGTATTTGGCTATGGTGCAACGAAATATAGAAAATAAATTCAATTCATTTCATGACTGATTCTTTTAATGCAGATATTCTTGAGGGTTATGAGAATACTGAAAGAAGTAATCGTGCATTATTTGCTCGTCTGGAAGCACTAGCAGACATGAAATACACCTATGTCATTTCCTGTCAATCATTTGCATCTCAAAAGGCTTCGAATCATCCCCATTATAAAGATATGATTGACTTAATGATAAGGTAAGTTTTTACAAGGAAAGAGAAAAATGTCTTGTTTCTTGAATTGGCAGAAGTAGACAATAACCCTTGCATGCATGTATTGCCTGCAGGTATTCATCTCTTCGTGTTGCTTATGTTGAGGAAAAAGAGGAGATGGTACAGGGTAAACCTCACAAAGTATATTCATCTAAACTGGTTAAAGTTGACAATGGTTTTGAACAGGTATTTTTTTACAACATGAAAAGAATTAATCTTGGAAATATTGTCTTGTAGCCAATCCTTATTTATCGTCTCAGAAGAATTTTTTTTCCTTTTAAGGCAAGTGTTTGTAAGCACAATTTATCTAAATGTAGGCTCAAAATTGGTTTTTATTAATATCTCTGATGTTAATATTTAGAAACATTTAATCAAATAAGATGTTGGCTGCTCATTCGCTGTTAATTCAATTTTCAATTTTATTACACGTATAGCCAATTAGTTATTCAGATGTATCATTAATGACTTGATAAAATTGTTGCTTGTCTTTTATAGACAATATATCAAATAAAACTTCCAGGTTCACCATATCTTGGAGAAGGGAAGCCTGAAAATCAAAACAATGCAATAATATTCACTCGTGGTGAAGCCCTCCAAACAATTGATATGAACCAAGTAGGCTTATTTTCTGTTTACCTTTTTTTTTACCAGTTAACTATTACTATCATTATATATAAAACTTGATCTTTTTTATTATGTTCATATGAGTATCTGATTTTACAGGATAATTACTTGGAAGAAGCTCTAAAAATGAGAAACCTTCTCCAAGAATTTCGTCAGCGCCAGGGACGGCGTACTCCTACCATACTTGGTTTAAGGGAACACATTTTCACAGGAAGGTTAGCCCTCTGTATCCCATTGTTAGAATATAATATAAACCATTAAAAAAGCCCTCACCTAACAGCTTAACCTTTTGGGTTGAATTGGTTCTTTACACCCATAAATTTAAATGATAGCATTTTGAAACTAAGCAAGATTTCTTCCGGTTAGAAATATTCCTACATCATAATATGCACTCCCATTTTAGCTCTCCTACGTCATAAAAATGCTATGCTACCTAAGGATAATACATCATAGCTGTTCCACATTTTTTCTCTTCTATCATTTTCATTTTCTATTTTACACTCACATTTGTTTTTTTCTTCTCTTGCTTTTTCCCCTTGCTCATAATTTTCATTCCCTTACTCAAATGTCTTTTACATTAACATTAGAATGATGCTTAATATACTAATACGATATCTTTCATTCTCTTACAACTTCAGTGTGTCTTCTCTGGCATGGTTCATGTCATATCAAGAGACCAGCTTTGTCACTATCGGTCAAAGGCTTCTGGCTAATCCTCTCAGGTAATAAATGCAAAATGTCATTCTGAAAACGTAAGCAACTGCAGAAAGGAAATGTTCATTGTGTGTCCAAGGGTTATTTAGAAAACCTACCAAAATTATGAATTAATAATTTTATGTACTTGATTTTTGCTAGTTGTATAAACAAGAAGTAACATTTTTCATTAAAGCATATGATCTTCATTGTTAGACTTGTGATTTTCCTTGCGGCGGTCAAGAAAGCTTTTGACTTCAAATTACTCCATGACAGTTTAGTTGGGATATTTTTGTAAGGGTTTAAAGTTTCTAAAGTTACTTTAGATAACTTTATCTAATTGTACTCATGGTGGTACATAAATGTTTCCCATGGAGGGTGAAGTATGTTGATAATGTACTCATGGTGGTACATAAATGTTTTCCATGGAGGGTGAAGTATGTTGATATAGGGGGTGTCCATAGTGGCAATGGTAAAGACCAAGCCACTAGTGGAGCTTCCCATGTATGTGCTTCAAGGGGGAGTGTGTGTGAGTGACAGGCTGACAGCATATGAGAGGAGTGGGGAAGAAGAAGCTCCCCCCTCCATGTGTGAGAGGGGTATTTAGAGAGGAGGGTCTCTCTTGCTTGGGGGCTTGAGCTGGTCAGCCCATGAGCTGTCTTATCAAGCTGCCTACTGTCAGTGTACAGGGGTAGCAGTGCAGGATGGGGAATGACCCAGTGGTGAGCCTCTATGGCTTGCCATGGGTGCCCTCTAGAAGGCTCTAGATATGGGCTTTAAGCGATTGGGCCCATCTAGTGGGCCTAAGTAAGTAGTATCCGGAACAGGAGCCCCCCAGCTTGGTAGCTTGAAGGAGTCAAGGTGCCAAGATATATGGCAGCTTAGGCCGGATACCCGTAGTGTGTAGTGCTCCGAGCGGGATACAATGTAACCGATCGGTATTACGTCGGCCTTCATGTCTTGTTTATTAACTGAAATAAAGATGTCTTGACCGTCTGATAATAATAAAATAATATTGTAGATGAGATCTTCTGGAGAGGATAATTGTTCCAAGAGAGAGAGGTGATGAAGGTCCTGATGATAAATATATATGCTCCGTTCTTCAAATGGTAGAGAGAGAAAAAGAAAACATGGGCCCCACACACTTGTGTATTTTGGTAAACATTAGATAAAGTTAACTAAAGTAACTTTAAAAACTTTAAACCCTTTTTGTAATCTAGTTTTTTATAAGTAAACTAATGGTGATCCATATTTTGAGGAAGTCATGGACTGCTATAAAAAAAATTGATTTTTTGTATCTTATTTTATATAAAACTAGCAGATATAAATATATGAAATCTGATAAAGAGGTATTTTCCTTCATTCTGTTTTTATTGTTCTGTTCTGTTCTTCTTCTTCTTAAAAGGCTCTTGCTTGGATTACAACATTCATCACCTATTATTTTATGCATAATGCAGTGCTTTTATATATGGAAAAAATGAATATTCAGTGACTGGACGATCCAGTGTACTATGTACTGCCGGAAGTACATAGTTATAATAAATATTATAATGGTGTACTTCTGGGAGTACACAGTTATAATATTTACTATAACTATGTACTTCCGGGAGTACCCACACCAAATTTTATATCCTGTACACTCACTTAACCCTTTATATATATAAGAGAAAAATGTTTGTCTTTTAAAACGACACAAGTTGTGTCTTTTTAATTTTTAACACTATGTACTATGGGTAGTACATAGTTATAATGTGAAAAATTGCTTTTTTTTTTTTCTCTTCTCAGTGTACTTCAGTTGACGTGAAAAGTGAAAAAAGTGACTTTTCATATTATAACTATATATTACTCGTAGTATATAGTGTTAAAAATCAAAATGACACAACTTGTGTTCTTTTAAAGGACACGCACTAAACCCTATAAATAATGATGTGTTTTAACTCTATCAAATGCTAACTTATTAAATCCGATGTATTCTCTCACTCAGGGTACGGTTCCATTATGGCCATCCAGATGTATTTGACAGGGTTTTTCATATCACAAGAGGAGGAGTAAGCAAAGCATCTAAAACAATTAACCTGAGTGAGGATGTTTTTGCTGGTAGGAATTGGTAACTTTAACATTGTGTTCTGACCACATATTGTTTATGATAATAGAGACAAGTACACATTGTTTATGCCATGCAGGATTTAATTCTACTTTAAGACGGGGATGTATTTCTTACCATGAATACTTGCAAGTTGGCAAAGGTCGTGATGTAGCTCTAAACGCGATCTCAAAATTTGAAGCTAAGGTAGCAAATGGAAACAGTGAGCAAACTATAAGCCGTGACATATTCCGCCTTGGCCGGCAATTCGATTTTTTCCGGATGCTATCTTGTTATTTCACTACCATTGGATTTTACTTCAGTAGCTTGGTAATTTTATTGAACCATCTTATTCTTCTCTCTCTGTCTTTATCTCTTTTAATTGTGTTACATTGTTACTCATATGGAGTGTTGACATGTACAATTTTTATGTCTCATAATAAGAAACTAAAAATCCTATTTTTGTTATCTATTTCCCTTTTCACAATATGACATAAGTATCATATTATGGAATGGATAAAGTGTCATTCTCTAAAGAAGCAAACAAAGTTTATAATAGTTAATGCAATGCAAAAAAAGCTTATGCCTATGATAGTTTGGTTATCTAGCAGTACATCTTAGGTAAATACTAAGTTTCATATTAAGAAATTGATAAAATCCCATTCCCTAAGGTCTAAAGCAGACAAAGTTCACCATAAGTAATGATGCACTATAAAATGTTTTGCCTATAATGGTTTTGGGGAACTTTGCATTTTTCATGACATGTCAGTACATATTAGGTGAAGTTACTTAACCTTTCATTCGGCATTTAAGTTGTTCCTTGTTTGGGATGACAAGATAAAAAAAAAAATTTAAGCTTTATATCATAGTAGTTAATTGCGCCGCAATAGCGCCGCAAGCCGCGCTGTATGGGCATTGCGGTGTCTCACCGCAAGAAACCGCGTCGCGCTGCACCTGAACGCAATAGCGGTCATTGCGATCGCATTTGCAGCCAAATCATATTGCTGTCATAAGGCAAAATGTCAATTTTGTCCTAAATTTAAATGTATAACAGAAAAATTTTAAGGGTTTTTTAGTATATCTGCGTCTCGCTCTGTAACTTCTGCTATATCTGCCTTTAAAAAAAAAAAATTGACGACACGCTGCAATCCGCATTTGATAACTGTTTTATATATATATATATATATATATATATATATATATATATATATATATATATATATATATATCATAAATGATAAGTGCCATCAGGTTTGACTGATTTAAAATGATATTGAATTGCTCCACAGATTTCAGTAATAGGAATATATGTATTTCTCTATGGTCAGCTTTACCTGGTTCTTAGTGGGTTGGAGAGAGCACTTATTATTGAAGCTCGAATCAAGAATGTACAGTCCTTAGAAACAGCTCTTGCTTCCCAATCATTTATACAACTTGGGCTTCTAACAGGCTTACCAATGGTGATGGAAATAGGCCTTGAGAAAGGTTTCCTCACAGCCTTCAAAGATTTTGTCCTAATGCAATTGCAGCTTGCTGCTGCTTTCTTCACTTTCTCCCTTGGAACAAAAACACATTATTATGGCCGAACAATTTTGCATGGGGGTGCAAAGTACAGACCAACAGGACGCAAAGTTGTCTTCCATGCTAGCTTCACTGAAAACTACAGATTATATTCAAGAAGCCACTTTGTTAAGGGATTTGAGCTAATGCTGCTGTTGATTGTGTATAATATGTTCAGGAAGTCTTATCAAAGTAGCATGACATATGTGCTGATAACTTATGCCATTTGGTTCATGTCATTAACTTGGTTATGTGCACCATTTCTTTTTAACCCTGCTGGGTTCAGTTGGACCAAGACAGTAGATGATTGGAAAGAGTGGAATAAATGGATCAGGCAACAAGGTGGTATAGGAATTCAACAAGATAAAAGTTGGCATTCTTGGTGGCATGATGAGCAAGCCCATCTTCTCCGGTCAGGTCTTGGTTCCAGGTTGACTGAAATATTGCTTTCTCTTCGCTTTTTCATCTATCAATACGGTCTGGTCTATCACCTTGACATCTCTCAGCATAGCAAAAACTTTCTGGTTTATGTCCTTTCTTGGATTGTGATTTTTGCAATTTTCCTCTTGGTGAAGGTAACCTCTCTCATATACACCAAATAATATTTGTCTTATAGTAGGTGCTGAACCATTGCATCTTAATTACATAATCTTAACATCCTTGCAGGCTGTCAATATGGGAAGGCAACTACTCAGTGCTAATTATCAACTTGGATTCAGATTTTTCAAAGCATTCCTGTTCATTGCTGTTATTTCCATTATCATTACTCTTTCCATTATATGTGAACTGTCATTGACAGACATTTTCGTTTGCTGTCTGGCATTCATGCCTACTGCATGGGGATTGATACTGGTAAGAATCTTTAGCAATATTTTTATTTTTTATTTATCCATTGGTTCATCAGATGGTAAACCTGTAGCAGCTGTAAAGCTGTTTCGTTGTGACTGAAAAGTCACATATTCGAATTTGGGAAATGGTTTCTTTGCAATATACAAAGGTAAGGCTACATAAAAAGATTGCCCTCACAGAGCTCTGTTAGACCCATGTAAGGGATGACTATTCTAATACTATTTTCTCAAGGCTCGAATTTGATACCTATGATTAAGGAAAACAAACTCCTTGCCACTTAAACCAATGATTGTTGGTAGACCAAACTATCACCTTTTAATTTGTTGCCTACTTTTTTCCCTGACCATAATCCAAAGTAACATTTTTTGCTGGTTCAGATTGCACAAGCTGTGAGGCCAAAGATAGAGCATACAGGATTGTGGGACTTCACCCGTGCACTTGCTAGAGAATTTGATTACGGAATGGGGATAGTTCTTTTTGGACCTATAGCTATTTTGGCATGGCTACCAATCATTAAAGCCTTCCATGCTCGTATCCTTTTCACCGAGGCATATAGAAGGCACCTGCAAATCCAACCACTTCTCTCAGGAAAAAGGAAGAAGCACAGACCTTGATCATGTCATGATTCTTGAACTTGTTTCTGTACAGTCAAGCCATAATATATTAACATTCTATACAGGAGGATTTCAGGAACTACGTAGAAGTAACACAGCATGTACAGCTGTATGCATATGAGTATAGTATACCAAGTCATAAATGTACAAGAGAGGAAATTGTTGTTTCTCATTGTGTAGTTGAATCAGTCGAAAGGAGAGGGAATTAAAACAATATTTGCTTCATTAGAAGGAGAAAACCTCGGGTACATACATCAGATGTAGGTTTACCTAATGGGGAAGTTTTTGGGATTAAGTGGGAATAATAAAGAAAAGCAAGGATATAAATGAAAAAATAATTTCCCTATTTGGAAAAAAAAATGTATCGAAGTGGGCGCATATGATGTATTGAAAAAATTTCCCATTTGTGTGTGTATCCTCTCATATTTAAAAGTGGTCATCTGATCCTATTGTTTGGTTACAACCACTTATTTAAAAATCACACATGTAACACCTTGTTCGCGACCGGTTAGTTAACATGCATATGGTATAGAAACACTGCATAATTAAATGCTTAAGCAGAAGATTTAACCTATAAAAGTATCACTGTTATTTGCATAACTAAATGACTTAACTTTTTTCTTAATTTTTATCCTTAACTATTATATCTCATAATTCCTTTTTAAATTATTATAATTTGTACAGTCTCATAACTGCGCAGACCTCTTATTTATTCTATCAGTAACTGTAATTAACAGTCAAAATACTATCCAATTATGATATCATGTACCATTCCAAATAGTATGTAACGGAAAACATAATGACTATAAACTGAACCTATCGGGATCTGGTCCCTAATCTTATATAATCCCTGAAATACAGAAAAGTCTAAACTATCTACACATATATCAAATTGTCCCACTTAGTGAACTAAAAATGGCTCCGTGCCAACAACGTCATATGAAACCAATGCGCTTAAAATGAAGAGTTCGTTTATACAAGAGTTTTGATGATAACAAACAAGCTTAGAAGCGACGTCAAATATAATACAACTCGCAACAATCAAAAGTCCAAGGAAGCAATTCAACAAGACAACAAGAGCAAATCATTCAACACACAAGATCAAGATTGCAACATGTCCTTGAAAGCTTAGATCTAATTGTAAAGGTAATTGAATAATGATGCACAAATGAGCTCAAAGGATATCAATCACTTGAAAGCTTTAATTATTATGAAAAGACCATTGACATATTTCGTACCCTCAAATTTTTTTGTACAAGTCAAGGAAATACATTAAAAGTGATTAGAGACAAAAAGGAATGCATTACAACTTATAAAACTGCATTATTGAGGTTATGTCAAGAAAGTATTCGAATACTTTCTTGACTGTATTCGAATACTTGTGCTGAGAACAAAGTATTCGAATACTTTAAGAAAAGTATTCGAATACCAGATGAAGTATTCGAATACTTCACGAAAAGTATTCGAATACTTTCTAGACAGTAAGCAGTGTAACGACTATAAACGGCTAGTTTCGTCCCAACACCTATATAAACTCATCTATTACGAACCAGCAAGCCAAGTTTTACTGTTCCATTGATTTAGCAATCATCTTTGATCATTCTCTTTGAATTAAACTCATTCATTGCTTGTTCTCACTCATTTTGATCATAAAACTCCTTTGAGCTTTATTCTTGTGTCATTGATCAATACCCATAAGCTTCAACTTGTATAATCTGTACTTTAAGAGTACAAATCCATTTCTAAACAGTCTCATTCTGTTTACTTGAGTTGAGGGTAGTGAGACCCTAGTGTAAAGGTTGCTCATAGCCTTAGAAAGTGAGTGGAAGTGTAAGGGTTTCAAGAACCAAAAGTCTTGAAGGTTGTAGTGGTTTGTCCAGCTCCCTTGAAGCTTGATCATTAGTAGAAAGTTGAACGAGCGGCTTCAATCTGGACGTAGGTCACGGTGGTGGTGACCAAACCAGGATATATAGTGTTTGCAATCTCTCTAACCCTTTATCTTGTTACATTAGCATTATTTGATTATTTGAGCTTATTTAAATTTACACTTTGCATACTATTTGCTTGTATTGATTTCTATTCTCTTAGTCTTGCTTGTGTATAAATCATATTAATTCAAGAAAATCTTTTTCAAGAAAGAAAGTGAGGCATTTTACGAAAATATTTTTAAAACTCAATTCACCCTCCCTCTTGAGTTTGAGGCCACTTGTCCAACAAGTGGTATCAGAGCTTGGACTCTTGTATAAAGATCTTAACCGCTTCAAGAGTAAAGATGGCATCTTTGAACAATGATATGCCTCTTGAGGGAACTTCAACCACAAGACCTTCTTTCTTTAATGGCACCGATTATGCTTATTGGAAAAGTAGAATGCAAATTTTTCTTGAGTCAATTGATTTAAGAGTTTGGAACATTGTTGTTGAGGGATATCAAGTTTCCACTAAAAAGGATGAAAGCAACAACGATGTTCCAAAGAAAGTAAGGGAATTTTCTGAAGAAGAAATTAAAGAAGCAAATTGGAATGCTAAGGCTAGAAATTTGATTACCAATGCTTTAGGTAGAGATGAATATTTTCGTGTAGCTTCTTGCAAAATCGCAAAAGAAATGTGGTATGTGCTTGAAGTAACACATGAAGGAACTAGTGAAGTTAAAATCTCTAAAGTTCTTGGATTGACTAGAGAATTTGAATTATTTGAAATGAATGATGGTGAAACTATCCAAAACATGCAAAAGAGATTTACTCATATTATTACTCATTTGGATGCATTAGGAGCTTCATACAATAATTTTCAATTGGTAACTAAAGTTTTGAGAAGCTTGAATAGGGAATGGCAACCTAAGGTGACGGCTATTTGTGAATCAAAAAACTTGAAGAATATGTCCATTGCTACACTCTTTGGAAAGCTCCAAGAGCATGAGTTAGAATTAGCAAGACTAACTTTGAAGGAGCAAGCCAAGAAGAAAAGCAAAGGATTAGCTTTACAAGCCATTAGCTCCAAATCTCAAGTGGAGGAAGAAAAAGAAAAAGAGCTCTCCGATGATGAATTAGATGAAGATAAAATGAGCTTCTTCGTGAAAAAGTATGGAAAATTCTTCAAGAAGAAGAACTTTCAAAGAAGACCTCCAATTCCTCCAAGGAGAAGATTCAAGGATGAAGGAGCTTCTCAACCTGCTCATACATGTTATTAATGTGAAAAAACCGGACACTTCAAAGCCGATTGCCGTAAGCTTCAAAAGAAAGAAAAGAGTGACAAGAATCAATTCAAGGATAAGAAAAACTATAAAAAGAAGGCCTATGCGGCTTGAGATGAAGATTCAAGCTCCTCCGATGATTCAAGCAATGAAGAAAAAAATGTATGTTTCTTGCAAGATTCTAAAGCCTCAAATGAGATAAGCAAAGGAATGCAACATATGTGTTACATGACAATGGAAAATGGCAATGAGTCAGAATCTGAGGTAAACTCTACTTGCTCTACTATATCTCCTTCATATGATGAATTGCAAAATTTATTTGATGAATTACATAGTGAATCTTTAGAGCATGTCAAATCTCTTAGAGAATTAAGAAAGACCATTGTCTCTTTAGAAAAACAAATTGCATGCTTAAACAAAGAAGTAAAAGAACTAAAGGATGAAAATGAAACACTTAAGTTGATTGATGCTAGTGCAAATTGCATTAAATGTTTATCATCAAATGATCATGCATCATCATCATCATGCACTTCATGTGAAAAGCTAAAAAGTGAAATTGATGATTTAAACAATGTGCTAAGCAAGTTTACATGCGGTAGAGATAACTTAAATGTATTGCTTGGAAAACAAAGATGTATGTTTAACAAATCCGGCTTAGGATTCGTTACTAACATACAAGAAAAATCTTATAAGAACTTTTTAATATCACCATCTTACATGACTAGTAGTCCTTTTATTAAATGCTATCATTGTGGAGGAAAATGACATAGTGCATCAACATGTAAGATTAGAAAGAATTGAATTAGTGTTCAAAAGAAAGTATGGGTCCCTAAGGGAACTAGACCCATGACTAACACACAAGGACCCAAACAAATTTGGGTACCAAAGATTAAATGTTAAATTTGTTTTGTAGGTGTGCTTGAAGAGTGTCTCATCTAAATGGGTATTGGATAATGGTTGCTCAAGACATATGACGGGAGACATTACCAAATTCCTCTCAATTACAAGAAAGGAACATGGACATGTATTTTATGGAGATAATAACAAAGGAAAAATTCTTGGCATTGGGAAAGTTGGTAACTCCTCATCAACTTGTATAGAAAATGTTTTACTTGTTGATGGTCTTAGACATAACTTGCTTAGTATTAATCAATTATGTGACAAAGATTTTAAGGTTGTTTTTTATTCTAAATGTTGCAAAATTGAAAGTTTAAATGATGGGCAAGTTAAGTTTAAAGGCTATAGAGTTGATAATATCTATATGATTGATCTAGATGGTATGCCTTCAAATGACGATAGTTGCCTGGTTAGTAAAGAAAATGATTCATGGTTATGGCATAAAAGAATTGCACACATTGGCATGAGTCACTTAAATAAGTTGATCTCTAAAGACTTAGTAATCGGTCTTCCAAAGCTTAAATTTCAAAATGACAAATTATGTGATGCATGTGTAATGGGAAAGCAAGTAAAGGCTTCTTTCAAGTCCAAAGATATTGTTTCAACTACTAGGCCTTTACAACTTTTACACATGGATCTTTTTGGACCTACACAAACTATGAGCTTTGGTGGCAATTACTATGCATTTGTCATTGTGGATGATTTTTCCCGCTTTACATGGACATTATTTCTTGCTCATAAAAGTGAAGCTTTTCAAGCATTTAGAAAACTAGCCAAGTTTATTCAAAATGATAAATCTTTGAATATTGTTTCTATTAGAAGTGATCATGGGGGAGAATTTCAAAATCAAGACTTTGAAATATTTTGTGATGAAAATAGAATTCAACACAATTTTTTCACGCCAAGGACTTCACAACAAAATGGAGTTGTAGAAAAGAAAAATCGTGTCTTGCAAGAGCTTGCAAGGACGATGATAAATGAAAACAATCTTCCAAAATACTTTTGGACGGATGCCGTAAGCACCGCTTGCTATGTTATAAACCGTGCCTTAATTAGACCTATTTTAAAGAAAACCCACTATGAACTTTACAAAGGAAGAAAACCAAATATTTCACATTTTCATATTTTTGGTTGCAAATGTTTTGTTTTGAACAATGGAAAGGATAACTTTGGCAAGTTTGATTCAAAATCCGATGAAGGTATATTTCTAGGATATTCACTCACAAG